TCGTAAGAACGACGTAGGTCGGTAACCGAACCGTTAACGTTAACGTAACGTAAGAGGTTAGGTAGTACGTAGTACTATACTACTTATTACTATACTCTCCTATCTCTCTCTCTCTCTCTCTCCTCCCCCCCCCCCCCCCCCCCTCCACTCTCTTAGTCAAAGACACGTAAACACAAAATCAGAGATTAATGCGTGTTGTGTGTGTTGTCTGGTTGCATAAAATCTCTGAAAAACAGTTTACAAATTTTTAAAATGCTGGGAGACTTGAAACTAAGCAGGGGAATAACCCAATGACATGTAATTAGACATGAAAGCGTCTTGTGCAAGCTTAAAATCTGTATTGTGCCCATTTTTAATGGACTAATATACAGCAGCAAAACTGTTGTTTGAAATTATTTAAATACTGCAAAGTGGGTATAATGCTTAATCGGCTTTCTGTATTCCATGAGATTCCTTCATCGTGTGACTTCAATTTCTTCAGCAATGTTGTTTATTTGTAATTTCATTAGGGAGAGGAGATACTCTGAGGTATTGAAACATTTTGTTCTGTTTCTTTGCAATGTCTAACTGAGAAATGTGAATGTGCAGCTGCTAGAGGAACTGAACATGGCAGGTTCAAGTAATGCCGACTCTGGTATGATTATGACTCTCTCTCTGTCTGTCTGTCTGTCTCTCTCGCTCTCATATTGAATTTGGATTCAATTTGTGGTGGGAAGTTAGAAAAAGGAATATTTTTGTCAATTGATGATAGGGTGGGAAGGGACCTCCTTAGCCAAATCAGTGAGCTTCTTCAAGTCATCTTTCTTGCAGCCACTATTGAAATCTTGCAAGGTATTTCTTCCACCAATGCCCTCAGAACTAGAGTGCCAGCCAATTCAATTGGTGTCAGCTGGAGTTGATTATTTGTAGTCTTTCATGACGTGCTGAATGAGATGTTTTGTGTGTTGGATTCCAACAGTTCAATCGGCAGAAAATCCAATGAAATCAATATAAAAAAAGAGAGATCACAGGGTAACAGACTGGTCACCACCTCTTGGAAAGAAATATAAGATTGAAATTGATTTACAGTTCAGATATTGTTTCATTTGAAATTTGAATAGCTGGTCCATGCTTACATTTTATTTGGGAAATATGGGCCACGCATTTATAGTTCAATATTCTTTCCTATGCATATTGCCTGGGGGAGCATGCTTCTCATGCGGCTTCCACAGAGACTGGAATCCCTTCAATAAAAACTGATCGCAATGCTTGCAATTTAGAGAGACAACTAAACCTGGGTCCATCTTGATCTCGAGTAATAAAGAAATCACTTAGATGTGATTAAATAGTTTGTTTTTCTTTTTAGAAATGGTACACTTAACATAAAAAAAAAGGAGATGGTACACTTTCCCTATTCTTGTTTCATCAAATTTTGCATTCCGTGCCCTTTGAATCATTATTTCTCAATAAAAATTGTGGCACCTGAAACCTGGAAGTTGGTTGGTTCAATGTGGACTGTTAGCCATTTAATATTATGGGGATAAAATTTGTGTAGTAACATTTTGTTGTGGGCAGGTGGAGATGGAAAGTAAATATAATGATGCTAAGATTCAAGAAATGAAGAATTCCATGAGCTGGTGAGGCTGTTACAATGTTATATTTATTATGTTCAGCTTAGTGGGTTTGTGCTTTGTTTGAATCTGGGTTGATAATGTCGAATGTAAAGAGTTCCAGGTTGGAAACCTATAGCTACCTGAAGCAAATATTGAGTGTGTAAAATTTCCACCATATATTTGAAATTTGTTTGTGGTGGTGGGCATACTCAAAGCTAGGTTATGTTTCTTTTGGTGCTTTTGGACACTGACCGAAATCAAGAATTTGGAAATGTACAGTTCTTCCTTTAGGTTCATTTGCAGGTTGCGCGTAATCTAACTGCAATTGTTGGCGGGAAGAGCGAATTCTGCAAATTGTATCAAAGTTGTCCTGTGGGCCAAAATTGTTCATTTCATTATACAGCAAGTGGAAAGCATTTTTAGTTCTTGCATGAGAAGTGTCACTGATGAGAGAGAGAAAAGAGAAAAGGGGGAAGAAGGGAGTGACGTGAGAGCCCTAATTAGGGTTTAGGCACCTCTCACATTAGTTTTATATTAACAATTAATGAAAGAGAAAAATTGCCTATAGAAACCGAAATAGGACATGAGGTCTTATTAACTTAAAACGGGTGTGGTATGAATAATGTTGCAACCTTAAACAATCCAACTGAGGCGCACCTCTAAAATTTAGCATAAATATGATTCTGATATAAATAATCCTTATAATGGCGGGAGAATTTATTTTTATCTCGAATTATAAAATTTTAAAATTTAAAACTTGTTCGAAGTAGATCTATAAACACATAAAATTTTTGAAAATAGACGGTCAAGCATTGCAAGATACATTATTTCAACGATTCGAAATCATTTTTCTCTTCATATTCATACATCTTGGTCTCAAGGTGTTCAATTAGAGGGTTCTCCAACATCCAAACAACCTTTTATGATGGATTTTTTAAGTGCATTTCTAATTATAAAATTTTAAACTCAAAAAATTGTTCAAATTCAGTAGATCTATAAATATATGAAAATCTTGAAAATGGATGGTTCAGATAATGTGTTACAAGATACACTATTTTACGAACTCGAAATCTGTTTTTCTTTTCATATTCATAAATCTCTCCATCGAGATGATCAACTAGAGGATTTTCCAAAATCCAAACAATTTTTTATGATGAATTTGTGAGGTGCATCTTTAATTCAATGTTTTAAGGTTGTAATCTTATATAAACTTTTTCCTAATTTAAAAGAGCAATGATGATTAGAAAAATGACTTTTAACACTCCCTTAGGTTGGAGCAGAGACGTCATCTATGCCCAGCTTGGAATAAATCTTTGAAACATATTACGACCGATAGCTTTGTTGAACATGCCTATAAATTGATCATTAGAGTTTACATAGAGAGTGGACACCTGCACACTACTGGTCTTATCTCGAATAAAATGACATTGAATTGCTGGCTAAATAAGGTGCAACTTTATTGTCACAATACAACTTCATAGGCTCAACGATAGTAATCCCCATCTCATTTAGTATGTGTGACATTAATTCACTTGTAGTATGTGATATTACTCTATATTTGGCATCTGCAAGATCTAGTTGCAATATTTTAGTTCTTACTTCTCCATGTAACCAACTTTCTACCAATAAATATAGGATAAGTTGTGGTAGATTTCTTTTCGGGTGGAAAACCTAGCCAATTAGCATTTGAGTAACCCTTAATGGTCAAGTGATTATTTGACTTGTAAATGATATATACCTATAACTCCTTTTAGATAACTTAAAATTCTATAAACATCATCTTAATGAGGAATCCTTGGAGAGTGCATAACTGGCATACTACATTTCCTGCAAAAGCAATATCAGACATAATAATGGTCAGATAAATCAGCTTCTCCTACCAGTTTGCTGTACCTTCCTGGATCCTCAAATAACCCCCCTTATTAGCCAATAATTATGTGTTTGAATTCATAGAAGTATCAATTGGTTTGGCCCCTAACCTTCCAGTCTATGCCAACAAATTAGTCACATACTTTCTTTGTGACATGCTAATAATACAATGCTCTAATGACTCTTCAATTCCTAGAGAATGTTGGATATGGTAATATCTAAAATCACCCACATAAACAAATCCCATATTATGTGGGATTGAGATTGATATTGATAAGTTTCCTAAAAGAAATAGAAATAAAAAAAGATTAGGATTCTGGGTTATATCTCTTGCATCTTGAGATGTATAACATCTACAGGAAGTTTCCTATTTGATGTGGATTCCTAATCTTATATATATGTGATGAAAGTGTAGAGAATTTGTGTGCCCTATTTGGGTCACTATATGGAAGAATGGTTTCCTCCAGAGAGAGAGGTAGGAGCCTCATATACATGAGAGACAATATCTCTTTTAAGAGAGAAAAGAGCTTCCTATAGAGATAAACACCACAGATGTGCCTTATGTAGATTGAGAGGCTGGTTTCTTGTAGATAGGTTAGTTTCTTGTAGAGAAGAGGTTCCTATAAAGATTTTGGGTGGTCTCCCTTAAAGTGAGAGAAAGTTTTTGTTGCTCTCAAGGTTCTCCTCTTTGACAGTGGTTTGGCTATGGAATGGAGATGGTCTTTTCATAGACAGTGATTTAGATGTGGAATAGAGATGAGAGGTTGACGATGGTGCCGATTCGGAGACTGGGTCTAAAAGGGTTTGCTCGATTGTGTTTTATCGATGGTTAGAGAGGTAACTCTCTATCCCAAAATCTATGATGTAACTTTTATTGGTACAGTGGATTTCAGTTTGTCATGCCCGTGGATGTAGCCCTTTTGGGTGAACCATATAAATCTTTGTGTTCTTGTGGTGTGTGTGTTTCATGTTTTATTTCTCGTATTATGACTTGTGTTTTCTTCTATTTTGTTTATAGTTGGATAAGTATACGATCTTGGTAGGATCCAACTTTTGAGACTCTTGTTTCCGCATCTAAGAGGATTCTTAAACCTTAACAAGTGGTATCAGAGTGCATGGTTTAGTACAAGGTAAGTGTTTGTGCATTTGATTGAAAAAAACCACATGACAAAGTATGTGTGTTTTATTTGAGGTGAAAAAATATGATGGCAAACACAATCTTTCCAGCAAGAATGATGAGTGAATTCATTTGAAAAAAGATGAAGAATTCATAACGCTATCCAATGGATATTGGCATGGTAAGCAGGTGATTTTGATATCAAGGGGGAGATTGTTGGATAAGGTGATATCCAAAATCACCCACATAAAAAAATCTCATATTATGTGGGATTGAGATTGATATTGATAAGTTTCCTAAAGGAAATAGAAATCCAAAAAGATTAGGGTTCTGGGATATATCTCTTGCTTATTGAGATATATGTAATATTTATTGAAAGTTTCCTATTTCATATAGATTCCTAACTTTATCTAAATGGGATGAAAGTATTGAGAATTTATGTGCCCTATTTGGGTCACCATATGGGAAGAATGGTTTCCTCTAGAGAGACGTAGGGGCCTCTTGTGCATGAGAGACAATGCCTCTTTTAAGATAGAAAATAGCTTCCTATAAAGAAAAACACCGTGGATGTGCTTCTTGTAGATTGAGAGGCTAGTTTTTATAGAGAAGTGGTTTCCATAAAGATTTGGTTGGTTTCCATTTTTAGTGAGAGAAAGTATTTGTTGCTCTCAAGGTTCTCCTCTTGGATAATGGTTTAGCTATAGAATAAATATAGTCTCTTCCTGGACAGTGGTTTAGTTATGGAATATAGATGAGAGGTCGACGATGGTGCTAATTCAGATACTGGGTCTAAAAGGGTTTGCTCGACTATATTTTGTAAATGGCCGAAGAGGTAACTCTTTGTCCCAAAATCTATAATGTAACTTTATTGGTGTAATGGATTTTAGTTTACCATCCCTATGGATATAGTCATATTGGGTGAACCACATAAATCTTTGTGTTCTTGTGGCGTATGTTTCATGCTTTATTTCTCATATTATGGCACGTGCTCTCTCCTATTTTGTTTCTAGCTGGATAAGTACACGATCTTAGTAGACTCCAACTTTTAAGATTCTTGTTTCAGCATCTAAGATGGTTTTTAAATCCTAACAGAAAATACCTTAAGTGACCCAAATGATTTGTTTGAACATATTGTTTCAAGTGCATCTTCAAAGTCTGATTCTTTCTCAATCATTGCCTGTAATGGTATCATCAACATACACAACTTATATAGTTATCGTGGAATCATGTTTTCATTTAAGCATGGAATACTTTGCATGACTGAAATTAGTGGCTATGTAGAATTCTGGGGTGTAAAATTTTAAAATTCTAATTTTCTTTTATTAGCAACTAGGTAATTCTACTTACAACGTCCAATTACAGAAGAAGCATATAATAAAGCCTACTATGAATAGGATCTTCGCTCTTACTGCCTTAAACAAAATAAAATATAGAATCAAGGACTAGAGTAAACAGCTAAATAAAGTAGATTAGAGTCTAGCTTCAAGTGTATAA